CCCTCCCTCCCCCTCCCACCCCCAACCTCTCAAATTCATGTATCAATCTATCAATCTACCTAGCATGTAGGTAAAAAAGCTGAGTCACACACAGGAAGATAGAGAGAGACTCTGAGGATCATCATGCAGCTGATCTGCCTTGTGAACCGTTGGATCCATGGTCCAGAAGAACCACAGAGCGCATCTCACAGTTGCTAAACCAGGCACGCAGCTCCTTCTGGACATCGGACGAACACTTGTCGCCAAATAAGTTAACCAATGCGAAGAGGAACGCACTATGCGAGACGACAGCAATATTCCTCTCTTTCCTCTGCGCCAGCCATGCCAAGAACTTCAAGGCCCTTGCACCAATCTCAGTATCCGTCTCTCGATGAGCCTCAGTCCACCACGTGTCCTCGTCGGTTTCGATCTGGGAGAAATCGACGAATGGGAACTTCTGCTTGTACTCAGTGATGGCGGAACGCTTATCACAAGGATTGCGACCGATGCGCTCTCTGCACAGCTCCATAGCGACAAATGGTCGACTTGTGCCAGCAAACACCTTTGCCTTCTTCTCGCCATCTGGTCTATTGCTGCTGCTGCAGCCAACTGTTCTTCCTCCTCCTCCTCCTGCTCCTCCTGCTCCTGCTGCATCGCTGCCGCTTACAGCCATTATAGCTTCCGCAGGGGAAGGAGGAGCAGCAGCAACCGGGTGACCTTCTATCAGGCACTGACCCCTTCCCGCATCACTCATCGCGTCCTCTGCTTGCTGCTCTGCCTCTTCCATCTCGGTTACCATCCCCTCTCCCTCCACGCCATAGATCCCGAGAGCTGTCTCCAGCGTGCGTGTAAGGGGGGACACAACCACCAGCTCCGCCTTTTCCAGCTCTTCTTTCTTCGCTCTCAACAAGCTCGCCGCTTGGTTCCATCCTTTCTCTGTCAATCTTGCATCCAAAAATTCCCATTTCATGTAATTGGCGTGGTCAGCCTCGCCGGCTGGGTTATGGAGAGCTTGCCCATGACGAATCAGATAAATGATCTTCGACTGACTCAGCAGGTGTAAGTCGAACCTTCCGCTAGAATCGCCGGCACTGCTGTTCATCGCCCCATCCATCATCATCATTATCATAACCCAGCAAAACACCTTTCAATCACGGAGGAGACAAATAAGCCTTTAATAAGGCAATTACTCAAAACTGCAAGAAAAACACGAAGGCAAAAAAGTCAACGTCAGAAGGCAATTTATTATTATTATTATTTTTATTTTTTTTTTTGGGGGGGGGAGGACGGACAGAAGGCATCATGATTTTAATTGACCCGAGAGAAACAAAGGCGATCAAAGGCGATCAAAGGCGATCAAAGGCGATCAAAGGCGATCAAAAGGTTACCTTTGTTTTTTTTTTTTAATCCCGAAAATGCATTACATTTGTGATCGTGCGGACTAATAGATTATAATTGCTGGTAGTTGGATGAGCCGGGAGAAGGTATATCATCTCAAAAAAAAAAAAAAAAAAAAAAAAAAAAAAAAAAAGGTGTAGCATCTCCCTCACTAAGGATGGGGATAGTATACAGACTATATGAACACATACGGTTTAGGTTACTGCAAGGAACATGAGTATGGACGAAGCACAGAAATCCAGAATGCAAAACACCAACAGCATAACCCAAATGTAGCTCTCTCTTGTGAATGGCGCCAGGCGCCCTATCTACCCTACAGCCTATCCTACAACTACAGCAATGAGCAGCAACCAGACAACTTGACTACCAGCGCGTAATGATGTCAACACCAATGCCGTATTCACCATCACCAGGTACGTGTCATCTTCCCCACACTCTCCCTTGTTACCCACACAGCGCCCTTCACCTCCGAAGTACCACCTTCGCCCTCACCTCCCCTGCACCCTCTTGCGGCCCGGCTATGGCCGCCAGTGCCCTGCATGCAGACAGCGCCCTACCGCCTAGCGCTGGCCTGCTCTGTCTTAGCGCTGCGCTGCTCTGCATAGCGCTGCACMCTTGCATCCGCGCAGYGTGCCCGCATATGCCAGCATTGGCCAAGATCCSYGCTGYCTCGCCCTGCTTGCCTATATGCCAGTGCAGTGTGTGGGCGGCCTCCCTTCAGCCTGTGACCGGGGCCCAGAGGCTGAAGCCAACTCGATACAGTTGGGCCCCGGGGTAAGGCAGTTGCGCCTCCTTCATCAAGGCCTGCGGCCAGATTCAGACAGTGGGCCGATTTCCCTTTGGCATTTTCGGCCTCTCTTCCCAGCATGCATTGTCAGCCTCACGTTCAGATGCCCAGGGCCTAACCAACTCAGATGCCCTGGGCTTTCAGCATTTGCTGAAATCCGAGACTCGGTGCACTCCAACCAACTGGCGTGCTGCAACTGTATGAACTCCACTTCGTGAAATGTTGCACAGAGGGCTCTTGTCGATTTGCTGGCCCGCCTTCACTTAGGGCGGGTACTAGGCTTGCTGGGGCCTTAGCCCAGAACATGTACATCATGGCAAGGCCCCAACTTGAGGGCTCAATCCTCACATTACTCTCCGTTTTTGGGTGGATCCTACCCAATTAATTAATACTGCAAAGGGAAAATTTGTGATTTGCCCCTATAACTTGCGATGGTTTATAAGCTACCCCTGCAATTTTTGACACTTGTGGCATGCCCTTCTGAGACTTTGCAGGCTTTTGCAGCCAGCCCCAGGCCTGCAGCAACTGCATCTTTTTTTCTTTTCGGGGAACAATTGCATCTTGGTTCGTAATCGATGGCGTGCACTTCTGAGGGTATACTCACACTGGCAGTTTCCCAAATGTATCTGACTGCAATTACGGCCAGATTCAGTATGTTCCTCTGCTCTTACATGCAACCTACCTCTTGCCTCCTATGTGCTCCCCTCTCCTTTTTTTTTTTTTTGTCTTTCTTCCAATCTTTCTGTTCCCCTGGGGCGAGGTCACACTAGCAAAGAGGATTGGATTCAACGCCTTAATTTGGCCACGTTTGTGGACAAGTGCAGAAAATCGAGATTGAACTCCTTTTCTGCACCTCTGCCTAAAACACGCCCAGATTCAGGATCTTAATCCAATCCCCATTGCCAGCGGGACCATGCTCCTGATCTCTCCTCTTCTTTTTCAATGTTCACATCATATAAAAATGAATTTTGCCTGAAAAGAAGAGGGACGAGGGGAGAAAAAGAAGAAAAAAAAACATAAAGGAAAAATAATAAAAAATTGCATCTGTGTCCCAGTCCCAGTGCCCAAATTGCATCTGTACCCCGGAAATAGTCTGTGCAAATTTTATTATTTGCATCCCCAGGACAGAGGTCGCCCAAGGTTGGTACCCCCAAATTGCAGTTGTACCCAACTACGGCAATGCTCAATTTATACACATACCCGGGCAAATTATGTGCACACCCAAATTTGCCGCCGGGTCCCTGGGCATAAACAAAATTTTAATCCAGCGGCCTAGCTCAGTTGGTAAGGCACGCAAGTGGCATTTAAAGGAGGTCTGGGTTCAATCCCCATTGGCCTCATGTACCTGCCTGGGCATGCTTGGCGCCCGCCACCTAGAGATAACCCGTTGGTCCCCCCAATTGGCATTAAAAAGCAGTCTCTGCTGATGTTCATAGGGGGAGGAGTAATCGGGGAGGCACAGCGACTGGCCGCTCAGATGATGCTCGGTCCCTCTGCTATCGGCTGTCCCCTGGCCGGTGTCCCCCCCCCAATTGGGGGTTCCCTGAAGGCAATAAATAAAGGCCACCCGATGTCAGATTAGACACAATATTGAATTTACCTGGGCTGGTTAGTCCGATGATAATACCTCAAGGCCATCGCCCTTTAAAAAAAAAAAAAATAAAAAAAAATTGGTCTCCCCAACCAAGGAGGGAGCACGGGAAAAGTTGGGTATTACCTTAAGTTGGAACGGGTCTGGGTATCAATGCAAATTGGGCCCTGGGACTGGGTACGGCGGGAATTCCCAAAATGGCGCCGAAGTTCAAACTCTGAAAAAGACAAAGGAAGTGGGCAGACTTCGGCAGAACCGCGGATTACCGTCTTCAGCCACATAGAACGGGCGGTCATTTTGAGCTGTGTTTGGTGCAAATTTCAGTCTAGATACATCCATAATGCTAGGGCGTTGTGAAGCTCAAATTCTTAAAAAGACAGGAAGTGGGCAGACTTCGGCAGAATCGCGGATTACCGTCGTAGGCCAATTAGAACGCCCGGTCATTTTAGCTGTGTTTGGTGCAAATTTGAGTCTAGATACATCCATAATGACAGGGCGTTCTATTCGGGAGAAGACGGGTAGTCCATCAGCCCTCCGTTCAAAAATTGGAACCACACAGAGAATATTGTTTTTTCGAAAGGGGGCAACCTTTCCGGTATGATCCAGGCACCCCGCCCTGGTTCATACTCCGGGCCGGGCCTGGTTCGGTTCATATCGCGGTTGCCTTTTTCATTATATATATCGTCAAATAGATATATATATCGCCATATATCGTCACAAACAGAACTGCCCGGTAAACCGTAGGCCGAGAGAGAAAAGAGGACAACAAACGAGGGGCTGTGACAATATATATATATATATATCGTCACAAACAGTATATCGTCACAATATATATATATATATCATCACAATATATATATGTAAGCCGGAAAACGAGTCCGGCATCCCACACATCAAGAAGTTCAACACAGTTTCTGTTTCTGACCAAGAGGACCGAATGTGACGAACGACTAACCTAGGAAAGTCCAGAAATCGGCCAACCAAAAAGGAAACCACTACGAAAAAACAACCAAAAACAAAAAACAACATACCTTTCTCGGCCTTTTGGCTAAAAATAGATCAAGTGTAGAATCTGTTCTGATCCGTGGTCCATCGGGCCACACGATATTAAATTAAATTTTCAGGGCTACGGATTAAAAAAAAAAAAAAAA